TTGGGCAAACCCGTCTAACAGGACTTCGTCCCCATAGGACTTCGTACGTCTGTGTGTATAGGTGTTTTCCAAGAATTTTTAGTTACCCTTTGCACTCGGAGCCACTAGACGAGGTATATGGTGTCCGATGCGGTGTGTGGAATTATTTAAACTGTAGAAAATAGAAGAAGTGCTTTATGCAAGAAGTACAATTTCAGGCATATTCCTAATGTATATTATCTTCTATTCTTCGTCGTTTTTTTTAATACGTCGATCCATCGATATTGGTCACCGTACTTTGTCTTTTTGGACCTTTTATTATCATGTATCCACTTAAAGTTATTATTACCCTAGTACCTTCGAAAATTATTTTCGCACACTATTTTATTTAAAAGAATAGACCAACATAATCATAGTTTATAAAGAGACGAACACAGCAGTCGACACACGTGAGGGAAGAAGCGTTTATAGAGTCCGGTGTGTAAATTTGAAACTATGAAGTCGGTTGGCTACCGTAAGTCTGCTGAACTTGAAAATTAACACCTAAGAATGTAGTGAAAAAGAGGAAACGTACACAATACGTTTCATTGATATAGACTGAAGCATGTAGGAACTCACGAATTCAACACGACAATGTTATCGGAAACGTAGTTTTGATTACGTAATTACAATTAAAAGTGTGTTTTAGATCAGGAAAACGTGAAGTAGGAACATGCTTTTTGTCTTGTACATCTGAACAACTGGAATCTACTAGTTTCTCATGGCTCAAACGCCCAAGTACTTTCAAAAAGGTTATTCTTTAAATTTTACGTAAATATCAAAGCTATTTGAAAAGACCATATTACTGGTTTTAAGTGCATATTGATACGATCCTATGCGAGATATTGAAATAGGCGACATACAAACAGACTTCTGTCATAAGGTTATAAGATATGATAGCGTACCAATTGACTTACATAATCAAATCCATGTTTCCTTGATAATAGGCCCTTGTTCTGATAAAATTTATAAAAAGCGAAAGGTTATAAACTGTCTCGGATATAAGTGCATGAAAATACAGAACACATTGAAATGAGTTTTGGCTGAAATGTAAAGCTCTACGACGAGTAAAACACCTTTTTAGGATGTTCTTTCTCCTCTGATCAATATATTGTAAGTGATGCAGTTGAGGTTGGTAGTTAACGTTCGCTTCCAGCGAATGCTGATATCGCAAACTAAGTAGTTTGGTAGTCGTGGTAGTTGGTAGTTGAGGTCACTGGGACGGTTATAATTGCAAGACATAGCCTTTCAACCACATTAGCTCCATAAGATGCCACATGGTATGTTTTTAAACTCCGACCTCATCTGATCAAAATATTCATATCAGTGATAGGCTATGTGAATCAAAAAGTACGGAAATTCACATTAAAGGACAGAGTGGGTAACTTTTGGAAGTAGTATTGGAACTATGCCTACAGTAAGGCTACTCAAATATTTTTAATGTGGTAGAAAGTAGCCTATCATATCTAATCGCCCAGGCAATGTTACCCGGGGGTAGATCTCCAGTTGGTGCCAGAATAAATGTTTAGAATGTTCTTATCTTAGATTGGAATCATGACAAAAATCAAACAGATCAGTTTCAGGCGAAGAATCAAAGAGAAATTGTGAAAGATAAGAAAACGAAGGGAAGTAGCCGTCTGCAACAAGAGATGAGTAGAACCTATCTGTGATCAAAATCCACCCTTCCGCAATAACCACTTCCGCCGTCCACACGAACCGTCTCCATTTTCAAAATAAACGGATATTGTCACTTGAGTATAAATAAGTTATATATAAGTCATTCAAATGTATTTTATATATAATGTTTTAATATTGATGAGGATTACTTATTATTGTTCTTCTCTGGATTTTCGGTTATAAGTCTACATTCACGCCATATTAGACAGTTAAAAATGTTTCTTTTCTTTTTGTCGATAGTAATGCTTAGCAAACCATTTTTTTTACCATACATCTAACACTAATTGGGTTTAGCTAAAAATCTATTAACTTTGAATGCTCGTAGAATATCTCGAATGGGCCCGGCATGAAAAATCCAACACACCCTTTTGGTAGAGTTACGTCCCTTGATATGGAAAACGAGCATGCTTTTATGTTACACCAGCTTTTCTGCCCTTGGTCAAGCTAAAATGAAGATTGACAACACTGTTCAGAGTTCAACGAGGGGAATCACGCCAGGGCAGTGAATTTATCGGACTTTAGTTTACCCGATACATAATTTGAAGATCATCGGATGCACCAATCGTGGACCTCAAAACAGAATAAACTTCAACATCCCCGTTATTTATTTCTTTGAGCAGTTGAATTTTAGAATTTTAGAATTTCGCTGAATGGATATATATTATAACGTCATGCATACAACTATAAAGTATAGACCAGATACAAGGACTCTTCAGAGAACCTCATACCTCAACAGGAAAAATTGAGTCGACAACCTTTACCATGGATATCGTATGCTACTAAAACGTTTCCAAAGATACAAATTTCAAAAAGATTTGTATCGGAGTCACTTTGAAGGTCGTAGGGGTGTGGATTTGTTTCAGAGCCTCTATGAAGGGGTTGTAGATTTGAATCAGAGCCTCTTGGAAGGTCTTGTAGATTTGTATCAGAGCCTCTTGGAAGGTCGTACAGATTTGTATCAGAGCCTCACGGAAGGTCGTACAGGGTTGAATCGGGGCCACTTGAAAGGTTGCACAGATTTGTATTAGAGTCTCTTGGAAGGTCTTGTTGATTTGTATCAGAGCCTCTTGGAAGTTCGTACAAATTTGTATCAGAGCCTCTTGGAAGGCCGTACAGATTTGTGACGGAGCCACTTGAAGGGTGGTACAGATTTGTATCAGAGCCGCTTGGAAGGTTGTATAGATATGTATCAGAGCCTCTTGGAAGATCTTACAGAGTTGAATCAGAGCCATTCAGAAGATCGTGTAGATTTTTATCAGAGCATTTTGTTGGATCGTACAGCCCTGTATCAGGGCACATCATAAATACAGGCGCAAGAAGATTTGCAGGAGCTTCGTATAGGTTGATGATTATATTCATGGTGCCGGAGCTGAAGTAATCTTGTGGCTATATATTAGTTAAGGTGCGGGCACACGTGCGGTCTTGATCGGAGATTTTTCTCGCCTATTAGAGTATTGAGTAAAGGATTTATGATATCAAACAAGTTTAATAATTGTCACGGATAGTTTTATCGTCTGCTAGACAGACAGTCATCATCCAATCAGATTAATTTTCCTTTTAATTGCGTGCTCTGCACGTGATTATCGACATGAACGAAAGCGGACCGACTGGAGATTTTTGTCTGCTCCTGTGTCCATGCCAGTCGGTAAAACTCTCGACGAGACTCTAGTCGGCGACAAAAATCTCCGACCAAGACCGTCCGTGTGCCCGCACCCTTACCAATCCTCCCAACTCGTCAGATTATACCTCAACTATCGTAAGTAGAGTTGTTGGGGAGTCTTTTGGGGTAGGTTATGACATCCGCTTCTTCTACATTGGTTTCCTCCCTTTTAAAACTCCAATGCTAGAATGCTTCAGTGCCAGGTATTTGAGCGGAGACATTCTGAGATATTAGAATTATTATTATTCTTCTGATTAGTTTTGGATATTGCATAAATAGGAATTGAACTTTTCACTGAAGGAAAAGAGATACATCTATGAAATTTGACCGTGTGACGGAACGGTTTTTGTGTAACATAACTTGATTTATTTGATATTAATATTTAATCAATACGTCATTTGATAATTACTCCCTCCATCAAAGCGGCGCCAATCTCATTCATAACAGAAGATGTGTCGTCTGCTACGGATTTATATCAATATGGACGAGTTCATTATCGTCATACTGAATATCAACTTTTATTACTTGATAGGCGTTACTGACGCATTACGTTGTACTTTGTGTCGTTACAGTTAATGTTTTTGGCGTTTTTACAAACTGACTCTAAGGTCTGTAATCTGATCTGATACTGCAAGTCCTCCTCTTTCGCTCATAGACCCATGATGAAAGGTTTAAACCCAGCCATCCGACGACAGCTTGAATAATATGCACGTCCCACGGCTATAATTTAGATTTTATAGCCTGTACGTCTCCATTTATATTTCCGTAAATATCATCATCTGTATCCTAAAGCGGGAGATAAATATTTTCTATGTAACGTTTAGTAAAACATTGGAGAAAAACACTAGATTTATTTAACTATAAATACCCACGCAAAAATATTTGTAGCAAACTAGAGTTAGAGCGGCGAACTAGCGATATGTGATATGTGTTTGTGCTTCAATCAGTTTAGACGCGCCAAAAAGTCTAGACTTCAGTGAGCGACCAACCAATCAAGTCGGCCCTTTTGTCGACCACTATGAGGGTTTGACGAGTCGATATCATTACGATAGGGAAGGCAGACTATACCTTTAATTAAACTAGCATTGGATATTAAAACAAAGGATCATTAGAATACGGTTAGGACAGTAACACATCATTTACACCAGTTAAGTCAACAATCAACGTTATTATACCACCTAAATGATTGCAGTAAATACGTGTGCATTAAAGAACAACCTAACACCCCTTGAAGAGGAAGTCAGCACGAATAGAACAGAGAACAGCGAAGATTGAGTTGAGGTTATGTGTCTATAACAAACCATTTACCGTTGAAAGGTGGCTTACAAGAATAAAATGAAACGTGGTGAACAGTTTTGAGTTTACTGAAATTAGGCATATTGTTGCTAATGGGGCTTTTGGAACCGTTATTTATCTAATTTGCATTTGGAGTGATAGTGTTACGTTTAATTCAACACTTGAAATTCTCCGTGTCAAAAACCGTGTCGTATATTTACCGAAATACCAGTGTCATAGTTCGCTATACTTGTGTGATAAAAGGATATATTTTTAGTTTGTTTATTTTTTTGGGGTACCTCAAAGTCTGTACTGGGAGTTGGTACGGCTATGAGGGTGGGAACCTACCGGAACGGTGGCCCAATGCTGTATGTTTCGGTCTAAACGGAACGCCCTCGTGAAGCGGCTCTGGAAACATAGGATTACAAACAATGAAACCGACAGTACGACTGAAACTGTGGAAGATCTGGAAATTAAATCGGTAGCACAATCAATGCTTAAGCGTTTGGACGAAAAACAGTTACAACTGTTAGTTGATTCAGTGGAATCAAAGGGAGGGGAAACCACAGATTGTGTTTTGCTTCCAGTGGGAGACCTGAAACTCGGAAGAAGGATGGTTGCCCCACATATTTTGTGTTGTCAGATATGGCGTTGGCCTGGCATATCAGAAAATGTGGAATTAAAACGCTTATTGTGTTGTTCATCGATTAATGACCAAACGCACATTTGTTGTAATCCGTACCACTGGAGTATTTTGATAAAACCAGGTGAGATACGGGAATTGTTTTGCTTCTTTCGTGGTAGCCATGTTGTTTTCTTCGTGCGTCCTGATTGGTCCAAAACAGACGAAGGTTTCATTTATGCATACTTTTATTATTTCTTACTCTAGTTTTTAAATTTTTATGTAATATTTAAAAGAAATATCGAAAATGGGGACCCCTTTATCTGTTGTACCGAAGCTTAGCACTTCTAAGTTAATCCCCGCAAAGCCATTAATGTTTTATTAATGCGATACGAGCTGTATATATCTCCGATACCATGCTGATAGATAACATCTCGAGTGGCGTATGTATTGGCTGGAAGACGCATACCTGAAATAATTTATAATTTTGGGGCATTTTGAATTGATTTTGAAATTTAATTTCAAGATTGTAGTGATTGTCAATCATTGAAGCGTGGACAGCTGCGGTTTGACAGAGGTCAGACATATGGTGAGTCCGAACGGCGATCAAACTTGAGACGACCTAATACCCCTTTGCAGACGAATAATGATTGTATGGCGCCAGCCACCATAGGGCAAGTTTATCAGTAGACGGAACACTACAATTATCTGTAGGATAGGAGACTGTACAATATTAACATTGACAATTATTTTCTTTTCTTCTGACAGATGTACAGATGTCTGCTCATTGTCGATTAGATACAGAACGGGTAAAAATTAACACAGGTAACGTATTTTCTTATTGTCTTATCAATATGAACGGTAGTATAGATCTGCACTCGAGAAATGTAAAGGTCCGTTTTGCACTGAAATAAGTACAAAATTTCAAGCAAATAAGAAACCCAATAAATTTATAACAGATATATGAATATAGCAATTGGTGTGAATTATTTACAGAATGTATTTTATAACTGATTGTATCAGGATAATAATGAAATAATGAACACTAGTAACCAACCTAATCACTAGTAACATACGATATACACCAGTAATATAGTTTTATATACAATATACATCAGTAATATAGTTTTATATACAATATACACCAATAATATAATTTTATATCATATAAGATATCATTTACACTTGTTATATAGGTTTATATCTAGTATACACTTGTAATATAGGATCATACACAATATACACTTGTAATTTAGGTTAATATACAATATACACTTGTGATATAGGTTTATATCTAGTATACACTTGTAATATAGGTTTATATACAAAATACATGTGTAATATAGGTTAATATACAATATACACTTGTGATATAGGTTAATATACAATATACACTTATAATATAGGTTAATATACAATATACACTTGTTATATAGGTTTATATCTAGTATACACTTGTAATATAGGTTTATACACAATATACACTTGTGATATAGGTTGATACATAATATACACTTGTAATATAGGTCTAATGATGATATACACTGGTTTAACTTCATGTAAAATAAACATACATTTTGCATCAAACATATAGGTTTGTATGCTATATATACAATTGATAAAGGGTTATATAAAATATACACCATTATTAAAGTTTTAATGATGATCTACACAAGTAATATAGGTTCATGTACAATAAATATACATTATTCATCTGTTGTATATGTAAGCCATGTAGGTTTATATACAATGATATACAGTTTATATTTTATCAGTACCAGGGTAGTGTACAATAGACACCAACTATGCCATCAGTGCCTCGATATCATATCCCGATCTTACTGGCTTTATATAACATTAAAAACCAATAACAATCCTCCTTTTTTTTTTTTCGTAGATCGACCTATGGGTAGGCAAGAATCAACTGAAACAGGATTAACTCCTACAGCTCATAGACAATATTATTCAGGTAAGCAATATTATATACTGTCAAACTCGATCATGGAGCATCGTGTTTCTTCTTTTTCAGCTTGTGCTAGGGTGTATTGAGACAAGTCTCAATGAAAGCACTGGCATAGGTCACAGAGAAATAGATAAGCTTATTAATTATGTAAAAGTTAGTTGATCATTAGTAAGATTTTAGTCACAAACGTACGTGTGACGTTTAATTCTATATGTTAATAATGATCATCACAATAAATGCACTTGCAACAAAACAGTGTTCAATAAGTATGAATATTTTAGCAAGTTGACCTTGTGAAGGTCATTTCATTTTTAATGCTACTTTTGTAATGAAAATTTAAGTTCTTATAAAAGTAGGTCGAACTAATTTTCCTAAGAGTACATGAATTTTTTTTATCAGACTGTTGAATCTTATAGCATACAAACATCATTTATAGAATCTTATACAGTGAGAATGTACCTGTAAATTACTAGGTTTATTATCTTCTCATACAATAACTATTGGTATGAAAATGTCACCAACTGTATCGAGATTTATGGTATGATTATAAATGATGGTTCATACAGTTTTTTTTTCATTCATAATCGATAGATTACAAGAGACCATTACTACATTCATAACATAACTTTCTTGATGTTATCTATCACACATATTGGTTTATGTCTGAAAAACTTTGGGCGAAGGCAGACACAAAAGATTATGATCCTGCCTTAAGGTTCACAGGCTGATTTTTCGCATGATTTTAAGAAAGTCACGTTCTCCTTATTTTGCTTGAAGACTTCATCGATCATCATAACTATGCTATGAATGAAATAAAAAGCATTATGAAGGCCTCTTGGTTATCTTTATTTAAAATTGTAGGCTCTTTGAATATTATTTTGAATATTTTTCAATCATTCAAGAAATTAATAACAAATACGGCATTTCATTGTATGAAAATACTTAAAGTGTAATGGAGTCACTACTTTCTGCACCGATGTGGTCTAATGAACACTCTAATAGATAGCGACAATTGCATGAATTTGCACCTCTGGATTCACACAAAATATTATTTAAACAATTTGAATGAACAAAATGAATGATGAATGTGGCTTTTGCATATCACACAAATTTATTGTGAATTTTTTTTTTGCAAAATCTGGTTAATAATCAATGAAGTAGATATTTTTACCAGCTCATTTTAAAGGCTTGCTGAAGTACAAAAAAGATCCTTAGTTTTTTTGTGAAAAGAATGTGATCTATTCTAATGAAAATATCATTTGGTTTTTCATCTAGATATTCCATATTTCAGGCACAGATACTTCAGTGTATATTTTCTTAAATTTATATTTCAAAATCTCCATTTTGATTGAAAGGTACAGACCTTGTTTTATCAGATTAAAGACTGAACAAAGGTTGTTTTCTTTTCAACAAAGTTTTTGGATTTTTTAAATGTTACAAATTTAGACTTGTATATTAGGAATTAAGTAAAACCTTGAAATTTTTATATTTAAATCAGTTTTGATTTTAGGCAGGATTGAGCTTGTAAGAATATTTTAGTAAGACAATATTAGGATGGTTTCTTTTTTTGAGTTTAAAAGTTTGAAATGAATTAGGTAAATCCTAAAATTTTATATATTAAACAGTTTTAATTGTAGGCAGGATTGAACTTGTAAGGATATTTGAAGTTAGACATATTAGAAGGTTGAAATCCCCTTGCATTCATAAGGTATGAAGCTCTTGACTTGCTGTCTCCAGTGTATGTAATTTTATACTATGTGTGCCGTATGTAATGTTTGCTAGACTTTACTTACTAGGGTACTCTTTCAAAAAGACGTGACCATTTCTCTAGCCAGTTGGCTGTATATAGCTTAATATCCGCCAGATATTGGACAAATTAATTTTACCGAGTATAACTATAATATAGTCAATTTTGTTTTAATTTCCACTAGAGTGGTCAAGACATATCAGTGGCTAACTTACCTAGTCTCAGGAAATGGACTGGTCTATTGTGTAGGGAAAACAATATGGGGCTAGCCAACTGTCTCCTATGAGGCCTGATAGGCATCAAAGCTTTTATACTAACTATATAATACAATATCTACTTTCTAACCATAACCTTTTTTTCATATTTTATATTTAGTGTCCTAATTACTACTGAAAATGACACTTGGTATGACTAAGTGAATATCTAAAAAAAAGTTTATCATTTTGATGCCCTTGACTTTCACAGGGAGCACCACGGATTAATTTGTAATTGTAGACCTTAGAAACCTCTGTTCGCATTTTTATATTTGTAACCAGTAGTTGATGTAGTTATGATGAAGTTAAGATACTTTTAAGCTATAATTGAAAACACATCTTGTCTAAGTTATGTCTGTGAGAAGTACTGATATTGCTAATGTTAAAAAATAATCTAAGTTTTTGTTACAGCACTAATAGTAATAGTAAATGTAGTCATTGAGTTCAGTTTTATATTTGATACAAATCAGTTCAGTTTCTATTTAGATACAAATCAATTCAGTTTCTATTTAGATACAAATCAATTCAGTTATATATTTTGATACAAATCAATTCAGTTTTATATTTTGATACAAATCAATTCAGTTTTATATTTTGATACAAATCAGTTCAGTTTTATATTTTGATACAACTCAATTCAGTTTTATATTTTGATACAACTCAATTCAGTTTTATATTTTGATACAAATCAATTCAGTTTAATATTTTGATACAATTCAGTTCATTTTTAAATTTTGGTACAAATCAGTTCATTTTTAAATTTGATACAAATCAGTTCAGTTTTATATTTTGATACAACTCAATTCAGTTTTATATTTTGATACAAATCAATTCAGTTTTATATTTTGATACAATTCAGTTCATTTTTAAATTTTGGTACAAATCAGTTCATTTTTAAATTTGATACAAATCAGTTCATTTTTAAATTTGATACAAATCAGTTCATTTTTGAATTTTGATACAGTGTGTCCATTGCCCAGTATGAAATAACGAAAGATTAGGCTATTGCCTCTTGCAAAATTTTCCCATGTATAGTGCTTGCATTGCCTGTCTCCATTAAAGAAGGAATTGAAGAAGCCAAAAAAAACATTTCATTCAATGAAAGTTATATAAAATGCCTTTTAAGAATAGCTTTTAAGATTGAATGTTGAATGAGCCAATTTACAAGTTGTAATCCATGTAACCAATTTTTTTTTATTTAATGATATCATGCAGATGATTTGGGGTGATCATTTTAATAATTCTTAATACTCAAAATACCTATAGCCATTCATTGCTAGAAGCCAATCCATATTTCCCACAAGTTTGACTAGACTAAGTTCTTAAAGTCTCTTTTCTTTGACAGTTTATGAAGTTTTTAACTTGAAAACATGGCAATATCCATGTCATATCATTTACCTCAATGATTTTGAAAACAAAATTAACAAGAATTGAACTTGCTTTTATTATTAATATTAATAAGTTATTGACTGTATTTGTTAAGATGTAGGTCACACTGCCGAACTGACCCACTGACCTTGCAAAATTTGAAAAAGTGATATGCATGTTGGACACATTTTTTTAACAGTTTATATAAGTAGTTAGTGCATAAAAGCTATCTAGACCTATTGTTTCTTTCTTAATCAGTTGGTTACTTTTAAAATTTTTCCTTAAATCATGTGAGTCAAATTAAGAGTGCATGACCTGTGCCTACTGGACAGTTGCTCATGAGACAGTTGCTCACCAGACAGTTGCTAACCAAGATGCTCACCAGACAGTTGCTAACCCGGTTGCTCGCCAGACAGTTGCTAACCAAGATGCTCGCCAGACAGTTGCAAGCCAGGCAGTTGCTCTCCAGACAAATGTTCACCAGACAGTTGCTAACCAAGATGCTCACCAGACAGTTGCTAACCAAGATGCTCGCCAGACAGTTGCTAACCAAGATGCTCGCCAGACAGTTGCAAGCCAGGCAGTTGCTCTCCAGACAAATGTTCACCAGACAGTTGCTCACCAAGCTGCTCACTAGTCACTCCAGTCAGCTGCTCACAAGAACGGTGCTCACCAGACAAATGCTCACCAGGTAAATGCTCACCAGACAAATGCCCAAGAAATTATAAATGCTTCTTAATCAAAAATTGTTGATTCCTTAGAAAATTGAAAGACACTCCACATGCATTCATTTAAATTAGTATGCATTCTGCATTTAAGTGTCATAAATAAATGTCATGAATAACATCCTGTTGTGTTTGTGAAAGTTCTGATATGGCTGTATTGGATGTTAAATGGGAGGAACATGACTAATATTTCTCAAGATAAAGTCCAGTTAGACAAGAACTACAACAATATTGTGTTGTTTTTAGCATTCTGATCAAATTTATCATCATTAAAACACATTAAGATGGAGCAAGTGGTCTGGAGTTATAATGTTAATGGACTCGCATTACAAGTTGTCTAAAGATAATAATAGGAAGTGTGGAAGACAGTCTTAATGTAAAGCTGTCATGTTTGTCTGGACCAGAGAATGGCCATACCAACCCAGACGTTGGACAACTGAAGTGGTCTAATCCGGGCTAATTTAATCCCATTAATAAAGATAATATGACAAGAGTATAAAGTTAATTAGGCTTCAAGATTACCCTTTGATCTTGATATGTTAATCCTTTATGTCAATGGTCACTGTAAGTATGTTTATGAAAATCCCAGGGATAGTTCAAAGGATTTTTCATAAATTTTGATCTTTACCATGAAATTTTGTGTCTTCACATTTGATGAACTTATTTGTCAAAATGAATGACGTCTGCTTTTCCAAATTCTCCCAGAAGTCCACTTATGGGTCTCCTGAATTGAAGAGCTCTTTGTGATTGTTGTAATGAAAGTCAAGAGACCAGATTAACTATATAATGAAGGAAGGGTTAATAAGAACAATCTACTTCTGTCTGTCAAAAAGTGTGTCATTCATGCCATAATTGTTTTTTTAAAGGCTAAAGGTTAAAGTTCATTGTTGATGACTAAATTTAGGTAGTATTGTGTGAATGAAAACTCTTTCCTGAGCCAACTTAGTCTCATTTTATTTTAAACAAACTGGGGACTTGGAATAAATAAATTGCACTTAAAAAAATAAATTTAAAGAAATTTTACCAAGATTTGAAAAGTTTTAGAGACTGGCATGGGCTTTTAAAGGAAGATACTTAAATGAATAATGTAATGTGTTTCAACAATTTAAATGGCCTTAATCAGGTGAAATGACAATGTAATTTGTTGAAACTTTGTGTAAAAAATAATTCCCAAAACACACGGCATTTGGAACCATAAAATTGTTTTCCATTCCTAATGTAATGGATTCCTTAAATGTCACTTAACAATTGATAAAGATGGCATGGGTTTATCATAAAGTTTATGCAATTGATTTCAAATTGCATGTTAGATATTGTTAAAAAATTTGTTAAGAAAATAGTTTCTATAGCCTAGTTCTGATTCACCCGAGTATATAATGCAGTTATAGCATTGAATTTCAACCTTCTTATCAGAAATATTTGACCTTTGTGAATGGGTCTTTTCAGACGTCATACCACACAACTACAGATACCATTGTATAGAATGGTATAACGTGCAGCAACACATGTAGTTTCTTACCTATCTCAATCAAGCATGTATTTGGTTGCAGATCTTATTCAACAATATGTATAAATACCAGTAATATTGTTAGGCTATGATAAGACATTATTTGTTGGTTTTGTTTCTGTCTGCTTATGGAAGCCATGTTGTTTTAACCTAGTATTTTCATGTTTCTTCCATTTTTTTATAATCATGCAAGTGAAATACAATTTTTCTAATGGATAATTTTTTTTTTCAACTTTTTTTTTTGTCTTAGAATGTTGTTTTTAATTTTTTTTAACTGTTTTAAGGTTAGGATTTTGAATATTGCCATAAAATTACAGCAGATGTTGCTTATTTTTCTTTGAGGCAACCATCAAAACATATTGAGATTTCAAGATATCAGATTGAGTTGCCTGGAAAATATGGTCGTACCAGTGCCGAAAGCTCTGATTCTGTAAATTCAGTGACAAAACTTAGTAGGTAGATAGTCAAAGTTACAGTAGATGCATATGTTTGGAATTTAATTCAAAGCAAGATAGTTTTTGAAGCTGTTGAATATCAACCACTTTCAGGAGAAGTGCATATTGATTTTAAAAAAACACAATTAATAGCTTTCCCAAAATGAATTTAAGAAAAAAAATTAGCAGCTATCCCCAAATTCAAATTGACAGATTGGCAAAACACTGGTAATAGCAAATGTACATGGTTATGTTTCCCCAAATTATTTCAAAATTTACTCAAATAATTTTGAAACAAAGGCCTATGGCTAGACAGAAAAATGTCTATAGAAAGTGTGAAGAAGTATTTATCATTTTATACACCTCATTTACTATAGTTGACCAAACCTCCCCTGGGGACAGATACAAGTAGACTTGAGGTGTCAATTATCTTAACTTTATTACTAATAAATCAAATTATACTACAATTATACCACAACTTGACTTCTGCTACTTTCCATCTGAAGATATTCTATTGATTTGCCGGCAATTTCAGTGGGAGTGTGGTGCTAAAATTTAAAAAAAAGAGCACTATTATGGACATATTCATGCAAACCATGGTTAGATGGTTGACATCGTCACAATGTCAAGCTGTTACGAACTTCATCTTATACCTTGACTGCAATAGCCACCTTTCTTATATCATGGAATACAGGACTTTAATTGAATTTTTGAAAGAATACAGCAAATACAGCCAAATGACAGCTAAATTGTTAACAGTGTTTAGAGGTTATATGTGGAACCTGCTGATTGGCTGTATTTGTACAATCCAATTATATCGCGACATTAACAAACTTCTATGATATAAGAAAGGTGGCTATTGCAGTCAAGCTATAAGACAAGGTTTGTAATAGCAAGACATTGTTAAGATAGATGGTTGAATGTTATTACTGAAATGTTAAGTTTTAGAAAACTTGCTGGTAACTGTCTTGATTTTGTAGCTGCATTTGCTTATATTATTAATCAAAAGTTCTTCCAAATCTCAATTCTAAAATATTAAGGAATAGAACCTTTAGTCACTGTTGTCACACTTGATAAATACTAAATGACCACTAGCAAAATCTATATGTAAAATTATAAATAACCAGGCTAGTATTATTGCTCATATGAGGATGGTTCTTCTGGAAGTGATATTGACAACAGATTTGTCTTTAATATAATTTGATTCTTGAAATGTAAACTTTCTCCGTATGATTGCAATATATTTAACATAACAAAATCCTATGTTTGCCAATCAACTTATTTTGTTTTAAAAAAAAAAGATCAGTTTGAGAACACGAAGGTCAAGCTCTCTATTTAACCTAGTTTTTTTTTTTATCAGTAAAAGTTTGATATTTCAGTGAAACTATCTATTATATATTGCATTAAAGTGTTACTCACCTATCTCACGTTTACATAGCCCTGGTATAGTCGTAAATATTGAAGGTAACTTAAAACCCCTGTAAGGGTGATCAGGCCAGAATTTTTGTGAGCTAAAAGGCCAGCCTCAAGAGATTTATGACCCTCTTAGTAGGGTTTCTAAGCTGGAGTTGAAGACATGAATATAAGTAGGTTTGAGACAGTAAGGGTCAAGTTTGTACCCTAGTAGTATGTTAGATAAAATAACTACAAATATTTTTCTGTCTTTTTTATTTATCTAAAATAACTGGGTTATAATCTTACATATTTTTAGACAATCCTTTATGTTGAACATATTTTTTTTAAACTTTCATTTTCAATGGCTCAGTGAGTTAGATGCTTGCTTGTTAACCTTAAGGTCCAGGGTTAAGTCTCCACAAAGGTTGAGATAATACCTTTGGTTTCTTCTTGTCCCAGTAGCTGACATGGAAAAAGCGTCTAGTTGTTCGAATGGGACAATAAACCGGGACTTGGTAAATGGAAAAAGACAATGCCACTGGTGTCCTGGCAAAATTTCCCTCATTGCATACTGCTGTCTTCACTCGGCCATTGCATTATGTGTAGAAGAGTAAAACTCCATTCATTTTATTTTTATGGCCTCATGAAAATTTTGTAGAATCATGAAAAACATTTGGTTTCCTTTTTGCATCAATTTTTGCAGCCTTTTTTTTGATGAGATAAACACTTATTTTGACTACTCCTCTTTCTATACACTTGTACATTTATTTTGCATTCACATGTTGTAGTTAAAGAACACTTTTTGTACATGTCATTCACCAACAGCACAAAAACATCAAAGGATAATGACATAATCATATTTTACTTATATAAGTTGAATTTCATTCAATGTTCAGGTGTTCTGTTGTAAAAAAATTCATTCATAACATGAAATTATGGTTCCATAACGTTGAGTAGGGCAATTATCTGCTCTGTTCATGTTTGATCTTAAAACAGAAAGTACGAAAATGAAAGTTTATGTGCTACTTTTAGTGATAAGAGTTAGGATGTAGGATGGATAAGAAAAGACACAGTTAAAACTACTGAAGCACAAGATGTCTATTATAGTTACTTGTGAAAAATCAACCAACCATTTTCAATGGTCATAATCGAGGGCAATAACACTTAAACTATCTATACTTATATATATGTTTTCCGTAAACTATTTATGCTAATTTTATCCATGGTTATTTTCCGGTCTATGGATCAATTTTCATCTGTTTTCTAAAATAATTTATGTTAATTTATTCAAATTATATTTATCAGTTATTAATGTAATTCAATCGATCGATTACCATTTTTTGATATCCATTGCTCATATATATTATTGATAACAGATAGTATGTTGTTTAGATTATAATCTATGCTAATTTATTCGTTGAATTATGTTCATGGAATGATTTGCAGAAAAAAATTCAATCAATTGATATTTAATTCAACTGCTGAAATTGGATGAGCATGAGAATAATTTGACTCTTTAGTCACTTGAGATTCTTGTTTTTTTAAGTGAAAATCTGAATTTTTTAAAATGAAAATCTGAATTTTTTTTAGTGAAAATCTGAATTTTTTTGATGTGAAAATCTGAATTTTTTAAGGTGAAAATCTGAATTTTTCAAGAGAAAATCTGAATTTTTTCGAAATAAAAATCTGAATTTTTTCGAAATAAAAATCTGAGTTTTTTGAAGTGAAAATCTGAATTTTTTGAAGTGAAAATCTGAAAGCTGTAAGCTAAATGATCAAAGAGGTTACTATAATAACCTGTATTATGTATGTGTTCAACATAAATGATGCACAAGTTAGTTTTTGAGGAGATAATTATGTATTCTATTCCACCTACATGATGGATAGAAACAAGTTTTTCACCATAGAAAACAAGAAAAAATTCATATTTCTCTGGTCACAATTGAGGTCAAAGTTCAACCATTTGGGATCAGTGAGCATGCTCAGTGGCTGGTTACTGGTAAAGAAGATTATGTAAGATTAAGAGCTTCTTTTGACATTGAAAAGGTTGACTTAGAGTTGTCGTCTGAGTAAACATTCACTCTTTTCGAGGTCCAAACATTAGAAAAGGCAGAGACACAAATATGTCGACCTACTTGATGGGCAACCTTTACAACCCAAAGAAAAATTCTTTTGATTTGGTAATTATTTGACTTTCAACATATTTGATTAAGCGATCAAAAATATTTTCTTTTCAAAGCAGTCTTCTTGAATCAGTGTTGTTTTGTGCTAAGTAGAAAGTTAAAGTACATATTTAGAAGTTGAAGACCTAAGTGAAGATATTCCATCCAGATGTGGGTGTTTCAGAGGAATTTAAAACTTGGACAAGACTGCATCATCGCATCTTCAAGCTATTATGAACTTGTACTTGACTGTAAACCACTAGTTTTGTATCACTGAATGCAGCCGTTTGATTGTATAGAGGCTATTGCATTCAAGGTATAAAACAAATTGAAGATGGGAAAATCCCTGAAAGCTGAAATTAGTTCTTGATCATTGAAGTTTTTGGAGAAACTGCACGATTGAATTGGCAGTCTTTGATGACATCATAGGTTTTTTTTGTTTAAATTTTGAATCCTCAATTCTGATCATCTCAAATTTTGAAAAATTTTCTCATACAACTTTGAGTAAAGTCAAGTTTTAGTGATCTTATAATCGTCAACTGTATGATATGTCATTGTCTCTGTCGTTGATTTGAAGTGTTTGAATCAAGTGTTTTAGGTAGATATCTTGACAAAAGAGCCTATAACCAAGTATCTCTGAGTGGTTTATTAAGAGTCATGCTTTGATTGTAAATGAGGTCAGCTTTACGACTGGTCACTTGAAGTTGGTCAGTCTGTGTACACATCCTCTTCTTTTTTCACCAACAGACCCTGTTATTGTTTCTATACTCATTGAATTTGGTGGCTGGGCTGGTGTCAATTTGAAATTCTTTCTTTTCAATGCTGGCAACTGCTTGGAATATCCGAATTGAAGAGTAAATATTTTGTTGATCAAGTCATGAAGCTACTAAGCCATTTGTAAACACTTCTTCAATTAAACCTGATTTTTTGACTCTCCTTTGGACGCAGTGTTAGCAGACGCCATTGCTTATTTGACCAGTGGTCAGTATTTGTGTAGTGAAAAATATACGTAGATCTTAATGCATCAAAGCGACCTCATTTTATTGAGACCATTATAAAAGAAAACTTCAAAATTGATTTTGAAAGGGGCAGGTTTCTTTAATGATTGTGTCACTTCAACTTTCAATACCACCCAAACTTTATATAACAACATTCATCTGAATGGTATGTGTGTCACTGAAAATGATATTTCGAGAAGACTTTTTCAATTTTTTTCAAATTTCAAACTATGCACGTTAGACTATAGACAAAAACAGCGGTTTGTATACCTGGGGAGACATCCTTTTCATCTCACAAATATCCTGGGGAGCATTCATTGTGAGGTATATATTCCAGATGTTGGTGTGTCAACATGTTGTAGGAGATGTTACACCTAGGGAGCATTCATTGAAGGCTATTGATATGTTGCAGGTGTAGGACTGTACTTGACTGAGCGCCTGTGGGAAAGAGTCTCGGTACAGGAATTCTCATCTCAGTGTTTATAATTTTTCCCTATAACTCACTTGTATCAAAATCTTTGAATAAATTTTTTACAACACAGAAATGATCTTGATACTATTAATAGCAATTAAGTTCTTTGATTCTCTTGATCTCATGTAGCAATTTCCTGGAGATATTTGGATCAAAGATATAAAAATCATTCTAATTACGTTTAGATATTGAAAATAAAGTCCAGAGAGTTAATTCCAAAATCAGCATTTCGAATCTGTTAGAATTTTCTAATTCCAATAAAAGAACTAGTTAATATTAAATATTTATAGAAAATAAATTGAAAAAAATGTATTCAGATTTGACTGACACAAACACAATCTTTAATTGGGTTCTGGTTTGCATTTCTATTGTGCTAAAAATTTAAGATATATTATGTTAACTTAGGAAATAATGAAGATCACATAAAAAGAAGGGCAAATCACAGATCTGGAATCCAAACAGACTGCCTAAATTCTTATGTTCAGTTTTTTACTAAGAAAAACAATAAGAATTGCCCTAATTACCAAAATCTAAATCTTGCCACTTATCTCTGCCAGTGTTCATTTTATTTGAAACAAGAAATCTTTAAGAAACATTCAATTTACACGTTTTCAAATATTCTCAGCTGTCAATGTTTTGTCAAAATTTAAAGAGATTTACTTGGCTGGAATTTTGGCAAGCTGTTCATGTTGAAATTTATGCCTTCGCAAATAAAAGCATAAAAAAGTTGAGTTTTTTGTCAGATATACTGTGAGTATTTCAACTTCACATTATATGATTATTTCAGCTAAGTGAATTAAATGCAGGTTTACTATTTCCTAGTTTAATATTGTTTAAAATGTCTGCCAGACACTAGACAATTTACAAAAACAGAAAAAAAATCTTCAGCAAACAGAAATTAGCGTTTTCTAGAGTAAAATAATACTGAAAGCACCACTTTACACATATTGGTAAGGGTGAAAATTGAAATGAAAGTTTGGGTTGGGAAGACAAAGTATTGATTGTACAAACTGTTATAAATCCTAAACTTAGGTGTTTATTTGAGGCCCTGTGAAGAACAATTGCTGGTCGATTATTACGAAAACTTAAAAAAGATGCATTAAGATGTAGATCATTAAAAAAAACTGTGACACACTACAAGCAGACGGCAATTCATTCAGTTGTTATTGAGACCCTGTGAAGAACAATTGCTGGTCAATTATTAACAAAACTTAAAAAGATGCAGAAAGATGTAGACCATTAAAAAAAACTGTGACAGAGAACAAGCAGACGGCAAATCAGTCAGTTGTTATTGAACAATTGCTGGTCGATTATTAACTAAAATTGAAAAGGATACAGAAGATGTAGACCATTAGAAGAAAAAAACTGACACACTACAAGCAGACGTCAATTCAGTCAGTTGTTAAGCTGTTGTTGACGCCACTGTTGTGGTTATAGCGAGACTGACTGTAATGAAGTTTGTAGTAATGGAAGATAGAGGTATTGACACAAGCTGATGAGATTGAAAAAGGAGTTAAGACCATAGTAAATGGCAGTTTAAAAAATAAGTTTACATTAGTCAAAGTTATGGCAGGAAGCCAAACCAACTAATTTTACCTTTTGAAGGTCACTTGTGGTATTTAGGATCTCATTAATTATTCAACTTTTTCAAAATGAACTACCCTGAATTAAATTTAGATAAATTACTGCTATAAATAGGCGACAGTGATGTTGGCATATCCTCAAAGAACTTCCAATGACTTTTTTCTCTGGGGAACTAAGCCTGTTTATAGATTCCTAATAATGAAGTCTAATATATGTTGACACACCCATTTGCCTAATGGTAGAATGTGTCTGATAGGGTTGGCATACGGCACCACCTCATTAATTAAAGGTGCAACTCAGATTAGATAGAAATGAGGTCTTTGGACACAAGAGGATTATACTTTGTGTAATGGACTGCTTCACTATTTGCTATTCTCTAAAGTCACGAAAATATTAGAAAATTCACATCAGTAATTGTTTCAAGCTTGTTTCCTGAAATTTCATTGTTGATGTCTGTAGAGTCTCTTCAGGGGTTTGAACAAATTGAATGATCCATCTCATGTCGAGAGATGTTCCGTTACAATGGTACATTTAGGAAATTGGTCGGAAGTCTGAAATAAGATTTTAACCTAGTGATTGATTACAATTGCCAAAGTTGTTGAACTTTATCATTTATTTACATGATAGATGGTGCAAAAACCATTGAAAAACTGTTGAGAAAAGTTACTGGAATTCTTCGTCTGCTGCAATCCTGAAGCCACAAAAGTTTTCTTTTTACTTTTTATTGTCAGTGCCTTTTATTTGTTTTGTCATTCAATCAAAACGTTAAAAACATGCGTTTTTTTTTTGTATCTTAGCCTACACCGTGGGCTTTTACCTGGTTAATTCTTTTAAGTGAAGCAGGCATAGGGGCTGACATGGAAAGAGCGTCTTGTCGTTTGAATTTGACATTTAACCAAGGCATGTGCATGTTCAAGATCCCTCGACAGTTGCAAATGGAGGAAAAAGCAGGCTTATGTCGATGCCCTGACAAATTTTTGCACTCTACATGGTGTTGTCTGTCTATGGTGCAGAAATTAGGCATTCATTCAATTTTCTTTTATAACCTTAATATCTTGACGTTAGTTTATACTGACATGTATAGCTTATTTTGTTTTGATGTGGAGCCACTGGTATCTACACATCTTCTGCTTGCTTAAGAAAATTTGATAGGTAAAATTCCATGTCAGTATTACAACAATTTGTTGATGGTCGCCAAGATTTGCTCGTCTTTTCTAGAAATTCTGAACATTTGTTTATACCTCTAAGTTATTTTATGAAAATATTCCAAACAGTGGAGATATTTAGGCCATGATAGAAGTTTTTACCTCATATCTTCTTTTACAAATATGGCAGAGAAAAATAAAGAAACGCTTGTGTTTTTTAATCAAAAATTTGATATACTGAAAGTGACATTTTGAGTGTTTTTGTGGATTGAAAGGTTAAAATGTTGATAATATGGCAGAGAGAGAAAAAAGTGGTGATTCATTGGTTAACTGTTGATAGTTGCTCCCATATTCGTGTGCATATAAACATACTGAGATTACTGATAAAAATGAAATTAATTTTTTCTGATGCTGTTTTTTTTTGGTGATTACATCTCAATATTCATATAATATGATGTTATTTTTAGATTTTAGTATTTGAAATTTTTTCATTTTTTTTTAACGAGAATTCTTTTCTATGATGTGTTTACATTTGTTGAAAAATTGTTCTGCAGCAGACTAGAATGACATAGGTGTCCGAAACACTCAATTTTGTGGTTGAGCTCATTGAGTGCTTGTCCTGAACACAAGACGCATCTTTCTTACGGTCTATTCTTATCTTTTGCTTCAAGACCAAAACATAGGTCTCTTGGAAGATCTTAAGAAGAATCTTGACACATTCAAATATCTAAAATGATTGTTTAAAATAGAGACCAAACTTGGCAGCCATTTTGAGACACTTTACATTTTATGACGTTGTTCTTTGCCTTGTATATAAAGATAAGGGGATGGAAACAGAGAAAGATTAAATGAATCTGTAGTACAATTTAGAGTTTGGACTCTGATGTATTTATCTATCTCTTTATTTAGAGAATACTAGATGACTTGTACCTGGCTTAATGAAAAAAAAATGGTCATGCTAGACTTAGATAAGAAA